TATTAGGGAATTAATAGGTTACAATTCTGGTTGAGGAACACTTAGGACACAGTTCTTCCATCAGGACAGCCTCTTCCCAGCTGAGCCACAGGCACACCTATCTCTGGCCCCTCAGCCTCTGCCCTGCTAAGGCAAGTGTTACAAAGCTCTTTTAGCACCTTGGCCTCTGCCCTGGTCAGGCAAGTGTTACAAAGCTCTTTTAGCTCTGCCAATAAGTGCCCAGGCGCACCCCACTTGGCCAGTAAGCCTCAGCCCAAAGGCACTCAGCTTTCTCGGACCATGGGCTGAGACGCCCACTGAGCCATCTCCTGATGGTCTCTCCTGCTGCTGTTTCTCTGCCACTGCTTCTCACCGTCTTCAGCATTACAGCTCTCTCTCTCTCTCTCTCTGTCTCCTGGTTCTAGGAGCTTCTCAGTGCAGGGATCTCAGGTCCAAAGGACATACTCTGCTCTTGGCCCTTCTTACTTGGTGGTGGTGAGATCCTTTCTTTCTTGCCTCTGGAATGGCTTATTTCAAGCCCAGCGGATGGCAAAACTGACCAAGCCCCTTGGTGAGCCACAATTATGTATTTGCACAGTCCCACTCAACCACCTGGGTGAGAGTTACAAGACCATGGCGAGAAAGGCCACACAAAAGTGATCCATTGCACTGCTGTCCAGTTGTGAGCATTTTTGTTTTCTCTATGTTGAGGTGCAATCCACACTGAAGGCTGTAGTCTTTGATCTTCATCAGTAAGTGCTTCAAGTCCTCCTCACTTTCAGCAAGCAAGGTTATGTCATCTGCATATCACACGTTGTTAATGAGTCTTCCTCCAATCCTGATGCCCTGTTCTTCATATAGTCCAGCTTCTTGGATTATTTGTTTAGCATACAGACTGAGTAAGTATGGTGAAAGGATACAAGCCTGACTTTAAAACACACAGTATTCCTTTGTTCTGTTAGAAAGACTGCCTCTTGGTCTATGTACAGGTTCCGTATGAGTACAATTAAGTGTTCTGGAATTTCCATTCTTTGCAATGTTATCCATAATTTGTTATCATCCACACAGTCGAATGTCTCTACATAGTCAATAAAACTCAGGTAAACATCTTTTTGGTATTCTCTGCTTTCAGCCAGGATCCATCTGACATCAGCAATGATATAATTTGTCCCATGTCCTCTCTGAATCCAGCTTGAATTTTTGACGGTTCCCTGTCGATATACCCCACAACCATTTTTGAATTATCTTCAGCAAAATTTTATTTGTATGTGATATTAATGATACTGTTTGGTAATTCTGCATTATGAATAACAGGGTACATATCTTGGTGCCTGTAACTTTCTCCTTTTATATCAAATTTCCTGAAAGGGATTATGTCTTTATAGACTAGAAACATCCTTAAGAATTTTTTTTTCCTTTTACAAAATATCACACAAAAAGAGTTCTCAAAAAACTTCTCATTATGAACATAATAATAATGAATAAACTTTCAAGACACTCTGGATTTAAATGACAGGTACATCATGAGTACAAGTGAGATGTCTTCAAGTAGACCAGTAACACTAAAAACAGTCCTCAGGTAACACCCAACTTAACTAGCACAGTTAAGAATGTTCTTCTAGTAGACACTGAGCAGTTGTGAAAAATCCCATAAGCATAAAGTAAACGAGTAGGGACAGGCATTTACCATTAAACATGCTGGATAAAAGTAACAGATGATATGACTTCAAAAAACTGTATTGACTCTTACTTTCAATTACTCTTACTTACAAAACCCTATAGACACTTTTATTAAAGCCCCTCTATCATTTATTTGAGGAGCCCTGGTGGCACAGTAGTTAAAGCACTCAGCTGCTAATCGAAATGTCGGTGGTTTGAACCCACCAGCCACTCCACAGGAGAAAGATGTGGCAGTCAGCTTCCTTATTTACACCCTTGGAAACCCCATAGGGGCAGTTCTACTCTGTCCTATAGGGTAGCTATGAGTAGTAATTGACTCGATGGCAATGAGTTTGGTTTTTAACATTTTTTTGCAGATCCATAATGCTTTGAGGCTTGAATTTTTTCTTCTGTTCTTTCAGCTTGAGAAATGCTAAGCATGTTCTTCCCTTTTGGATTTATATCTCCAAGTCTTTGCACATTTCATTATAATACTTTACTCTGTCTTCTTGAGCCAACCTTTGAAATCTTCTGTTCAGTTCTTTTACCTTTATCATTTCTTCTTTTCTCTTTAGCTACTCTACGTTCAAGAGTAACTTTCTGAGTCTCTTCTGACAACCATTTTGGTCTTTTCTTTCCAGTCTTTTTAATGACCTCTTGTTTTCTTCATGTATGATGTCCTTGATGTCATTCCACAACAACTTGTCTGGTCTTTGGTCATTAGTGTTCAATGTATTAAATCTATTCTTGAGATGGTCTAAAAATTCAGGTGGGATATACTCAGAGTCAAACACACTCAGCATTTCTCAAGCTGACAGAACTGAAGAAAAAATTCAGCCTTGTGTTGCAACATTAAAGGATTCTATGGGGACAATACTAAACAATGCAGGAAGTATCAAAAGAAGATGGAAGGAATACATAGAGTCACTGTACCAAAAAGAATTTGTCGATACTCAACAATTTCAGGAGGTAGCATGTGATGAAGAACCGATGGTACTGAAGGAAGAGGTCTAACTTACACTGAAAGCACTGGCAAAAAACAAGTCTCCAGGAATTGACGGAGTATCAATTGAGATGTTTCAACAAATGGATGCAGCACTGGAAGTGTTCACTCATCTATGAAAGAAATTTGGAAGACAGCTACTTGGCCAACCGACTGAAAGAGATCCATATTTGTACCCATTCCAAAGAAAGGTGATCCAACAGAATACGGAAATTATCAAACAATATCATCACTATCACACACAAGTAAAATTTTGCTGAAGATCATTCAAAAGTGGTTGTAGCAGTATATCGACAGGGAACTACCAAAAATTCAAGCCAGATTCAGAAGAGGGCAAGGAACAAGGGTTATCACTGCTGATGTCAGATGGATCCTGACTGAAAGCAGAGAATACCAGAAAGATGTTTACCTGTGTTTTACTGACTATGCAAAGACGTTTGACTGTGTGGATCATAACAAATTATGGATAACACTGTGAAGAATGGGAGTTCCAGAACACTTCATTGTGCTCATGAGGAACCTGTACATAAACCAAGAGGTAGCCTTTCGAACACAACAAGAGGATACTGAGTGGTTTAAAGTCAGAAAAGGTGTGTGTCAGGGTTGCATCCTTTCACCTTACTTATTCAATCTGTATGTTTAGTAAATAATCTGAGAAGCTGGACTATATGAAGAAGAACGCAGTATCAGGATTGGAAGAAGACTCATTAACAACCTGCGATATGCAGATGACACACCTTGCTTGCTGAAAGTGAAGAGGTCTTGAAGCACTTATTGATGAAGATCAAAGATTACAGCCTCCAGTATGGATTACGCCTCAGCATAAAGAAAACAAAAATCCTCACAACTGGACCTATAAGCAACATCATGATAAATGAAGAAAATACTGAAGTTGTCAAGGACTTCATCTTACTTGGATCCACAATCAATGCCTATTGAAACAGCGGTCAAGAAAGCAAACTATGTGAGAAGTGGAGCCAAGATGGTGGAATAGACAGACACTTCCTGTCTTCCCTCTTACAACAAAGACCCAAAAAAACAAGTTCATTGATTATATATGACAACCTAGGAACCCTAATCATCGAAGACAAAGCTGAAGAATTGAACTGAGCAGCAGGTGGGAGGACAAACAATTACACTGGAGAAGTACAGATCGTGAGATCATCAGCACCCTGCTAGTTGAGTCTGTGCAGTGCACACATGCTGAAGCAAGTGCAACATCCAAAGATAAGCCCCACAACATTGGGCACGGCCAA